CTTGCAGACATGAAGTGGGTGCAAAGGGGTTGCAGGGGTTCAGCAATATTTGGAACAAAAAAAAGTATTTTATTTTTTATAAAAAAAAAAATCACAATTTTGATTCTTCAGTGAGTCAATTACCTTTCTTTAACCTCTTCTGCTTCACAAAAAAATGGATCACCTTCCTTGGGATGAGCTGGCTATCTTAGGCAGCAGACTTTTTCTCTTCGTTGATGAGCAGGATGTTTTAACCGATAACGATATTGTGAACAAAAAAATCCAGTTGAACAACAGTGAAAAATGTTGTCGTTTCGCATACAAACGACCGATTTGACTGGTATGACGGTTGCACAAAGAAAATCTATCAAGCGCTATCATGCATGAGCGGAAACAGAAGATGACCCGGATGTTTATGTCCAAGGAATCTTCGTAAACACGAACAAAAAATCCAAATGTTAAAAGTAGATTGGCCTAATGAGATAATGAAACCAGAATGATGCATATTATATTTTATGTATCACTATTTATGTATATAGGTCATGTAATAAACTATATTAAACTCATTGCTGTTAATTGTTGTGTATATCGCTCGTTCTGGCCTGAAGGGCGTGGCTACAAGGTCACACGCACAGTGCATCACTTCCACTTGTACGGAAGACGTCAACACTACGTATTGCCTGATGAATGATTTTTTTTAGATTGGTTAATGTGGACCACGATTTTTACCAATGAACTAATGACTCTCGGTCGTCGGATGACCGTTGATTTTCTAATCGTGTATTCCCACCTTAAGTATAGCCATTGAAACCCACACAGCTGCTATGAGATCTGGAAGTGAGATGGAGACCTCATTAGGGAGGCTGTTGAGGCAAATAAGCAGAGTTAAAACTGCTATGACAGCTAAGGTTTGTAGTTCTACCAAAAAAAACAACAAAATCTGAGCTAAAAGGAGTTTGTATGAGGGTTTTAAAGTAATTGCGTACAGGAGCACTAAAACTGCTTCTACAACCCTTTTTTTATTCACCAGCAGAAAATGTAAACCTAACAATTGGGCAAAGCAAAAAATCCCTCTCCCCTCTAGCTGATCATTAAAACATAAAAAAAAAATTCTATTTACTTAAAGCCATGATCACATAATGTTCGGGTCCCGAGTCTCCACTTCTTTCAGGTGTCCACATCACTGCCTGTGTTATGTGTACACTTCCTATTGATGGAAGCACAAGTTTCAGCAATGTGAGTCCTATTTCAGAGGCAGCAAAAATACAGGGGGCAGTTAGGGGACCAGTCCCCAAGAAGATAATGAGCAGCTGAAGCATTTGGTTCCCAGGGCAGTAAACAAGATTTCTAGAGCAAGGAAGAGATGAGTGCTGAAGACTCCATCTTGTTATGTGCCAGGATGAGGTGTTTATGGAACCCACCAAGGAGAAAGGTACGTCATTTGCTATATATTGTTAAAATTAGATTTTTGCCCAGAGTTGGGCTTCAAGGAAAAAATTCATTCCAGTTCACTTTTCCTTGGCAACTTATACCCACAGCACTTGGTCTTTGTAGTCTGTTGACTATTGTATGACTTGCTGTTTGCACTTGGTTTAGTATTGACACAGCTGATACTGCCAGGAGCCAAGGAGAGAGGCCCGATGGGCCCTATAATCTACATGTATGCCCTTTCCTGCCCAAAAAAGGAAAAAGCCTTCTTGTGTTTAAAAACACGGGACTGTTTATTCAGTCCCAGCCCCAAACCCTGAGCATCTGCCATTCTGGGACCCAGCACTCTTGTACATTCACCTGTCACTTTATTAGGTACAACTGTTCAATTGCTTGGTAATACAAATTGCTAATCAGCCAATCATATGGCAGCAACTCAATGCATTTAGGCATCTAGATGTGGTGAAAACAACTTGCTGAAGTTCAAACCAAGCATCAGAATGGAGAAGAAAGGGGATTTAAGTGACTTTGAACGAAGGCCTGGAGCCTTCTGGGACCTGTCATGTGTCCCAGAAGACACCAGACCATTCACAAAGTGTGGCGCTTCTCGCGCATGCGCAGTGGGCACCCGGCTGTCACAGAAGCCACTGCGGGAAGACTGCAGCGCTGGAGCGAGGAACAGGTAAGGTCCTGCAGGAGAGAAGAGCTGAGCGGCCGGCCCGATATTCTGACATGGTGACGGCAGAAATACCGGATCAGCCACTTTACATTCACTCCATAAGACGCACTGACATTTCCCCCCCTTTTTTGGGGGGAAAAAAGTGCGTCTTATGGAGCAAAAAAATACGGTAACTATGTAACGGTTCAGGCTGGTGGTGGTGGTGTAATGGTGTGGGGGATATTTTCTTGGCTCTAGCAAAGTGTACCTAATAAAGTGGATGGTGAGTGTATGTCAGTACTATAATTGGGAAGGCCACTTTTTTAAAACAGCACTGGAACTAAAGCAGTTAAGCAGCTACTGGAACTTGGATGAAAAAATTCCATAAAGTACTCTGAGATTTAGAGTTGACACCACATTTATAAATAAACTGTAAGCAAGGAATCTAGATAAGCATGTGAATTATCACCCTTTGTGATCAGTTAAACACTGAGGACGAGGTTTTACAAAAAGCCGCTGCTGAACATTTCTACCCTTTTTTTTGTGCATTCATTTGTTCTTGAAAAGACACAGAAAAATGTATAATTCACCTAAAACAGAGGACACTTTGCAGTACTAAAAGTAGGCTAATTAAGTAGAGTTTAAGCATATTTACACCTTAAATCAGCAAATTATCAGTATTTCCATGGAAATGCAAGAAATATTTAGCTTGTATAAAAAGAAAAAGCAAAAAGACTTACATAATATAGTCTTTAACAGAAGTCTGCTGAACACAACTAAATCATGAAAGCAAACCAGCATCATGCCAAATAACCTTAAAGTGGAACTGTACTGCATCTGAGCACCACAAACCAAAAATTCTATTTAATTCATTGTTAATATTCAAAGCAAACTCACCCTGCCATGCATGTATGCATGCTTTATTTTGCTGAGAATTAATTTTGAAAAACACCCCCTGGTATTTCTGGCAGTGGCCATCTTGAGTAAGGGGAAATGATTCAGTAGCATTTACTTTCTGAAATCTGTGTGCCCTTAGCTCAGGCAATGGCTGAGCTGAGAACCCTCCCTCCTCTCCTGAAGGCTCCTGGGATGTGTGACATCATTTGCCTAGGCATAGAAACCAGGAAGCAACTGAAGAAATGTAAAAACATTTTTTAAAACAAGTAAATATGATACACTTTCCTATCTATTTACTAATGCTAGCAGCATAAGGATTAAAAATAGTCAATGTTGTTTGAGAGAGTAAAGTTCCACTTAAAAGAACAACTGTACGGACCTCTTCCTCAGAGTGCAGCCCACCTAAAGAAAGACTTACCTTTGTCCCTGATCCAGCAATTGGCTCCTGGGATGTGTGACATCATTTGCCTAGGCATAGAAACCAGGAAGCAACTGAAGAAATGTAAAAACATTTTTTTTAAAACAAGTAAATATGATATACTTTCCTATCTATTTACTAATGCTAGCAGCATAAGGATTAAAAATAGTCAATGTTGTTTGAGAGAGTAAAGTTCCACTTAGAAGAACAACTGTACGGACCTCTTCCTCAGAGTGCAGCCCACCTAAAGAAAGACTTACCTTTGTCCCTGATCCAGCAATTTTCACTGTGCAGCCTTGGCTGATGCCACGCAGTATGCTTCAGAATGTGCATCTGCTGCGTCCTCTTTAGCCTGGGCATGTGCGCAATGGCCCTGTTAATTCTGATTCAGTACTCTGAAGGACTACTGAATGCCACCATGAATGGGATTGTGACATGCATGCACTGGATGAAGAGGACCTGGCTTTCAAAAGCAAGACTGTGTGGTTCTGAGCAGGTCCAAACAGTGAGGACTGCTGGATGGAGGTCAAAGGTGCATATTGCCCCAGGTGAGCTATACTCAGATGGGTAAAGGCATGCCTTAAAGCACAACTTGCACCACTGGCAAAGAAAAACAGCTCCCTAAAGCTTCTCCTCATGCCATAATCAAGCAGAAGCAGGAAAGTGGAGGAGCAAGAGGCGAAGAAGGAAGGGTAACGGAGGTCAGTATCTAGCACAAGCAGCCCATGGTGAAGAGTAGTGATAAAAGACTTGTAAAACATTCAGGTATCTTTATTTCTAGGTAACATCTTTTTTTGGGGGAATAAATAGGAAATATCTGGGCGCCCCTTCTTATTAAAGTGGATTTCCAAATTCGAATAACCCCTCCACCCACTGATCCCCCACAACCATTGGTTAGGGCATGTGGCCTTGTATGCTTTAGAAGGGTGTGCCCTTTCTTTCCTTAACAGCCAAGCTGCATGCTAGGGTTAAGGGTCTGGTATGGATTTTTTAGGGGGACCGTATACATTTTTTTGTGTGGAGACATCAAGGTCTGGTTCGGATTTCCTGGGGGACACACACTTTTTTTTTTTGTAAGGTACCCTCTTAAAATCCATAACAGACTGAATCGGTATGTATTTTAAGGGGGGACTCAAGTTTTGGTTTAATTCTTGCTGTAGCTACAGCAAAAGTGACATTTAAAAGGAAAAAAAAACAGTACACTGACCCCCTCCAAATGTGCCCAAAATACATAGCAGACCCTTTGAGGGGCCTGTGTGCTTTTTTTTTTTTTTTAAAGAAGCCAGGTGTGAAATGTAATTTGTCAGCAATTGTAAATACTTTTTTCTTTGTATATTAAGTGTTACTCTAGTTCTTTTTGTACAGGGAGGATTAGTGCACCCCCAGGCATGTTATTTAAAAGAATTTGACATGTTTAATGTTTCATTTTAAGCATTATTTTTATTATTATTATTATATACAGGATTTATATAGCACCAACAGTTTGCACAGCACCGTAACCTCCCTAGCGGTATTCCCGAGTGTAGCCAAAAGCGGTAACCCCGAGCTACACTCGGGCTTACCATGCGGCGTTGCTCAGGGATTCCCTGCAGCGCTTACCTTGTCCTTCACTCCCGCGATGCGTCCCCTGCAGCATCCCCGGTCATCTCCTCCGGCCGATGCCGGCATCCGGCTTCCGTGTTCTGGTCCCTGCAAGCTTCGAGACGTATGAGACGTATGGGGGCCGGAACCAGTGGCAAATTTAAAAGTTTTAGAAACTGTCATTTTCTAATAAACGAATATGACATAGTAAAACATTACTGTATCAAACCATTTCACATACATTTTGTCCCTACTGCTTTGTCCTGTGCCCTGCCTGCATTTTGACTGTTCTTTTTGCCTGGAAACTGAGAAATGTCCATGGCGTCCAAAAAGCGTCCCTTTAGGTCAAAAGCGGTTTTAGACCAGCTAGAGAACAGCGATAGTAAATCAGAACCACTTGCAGAATTGAGTGGGGGAATTCCTCATCAGACACTGAAAACGATTTTGCGACTTTGCTCAGTGATGTGCGAACTTGGCGCTATATTTCAAATTTCAGTGCTTTTGGTTTTATTATATTATTGAATTAAATTTATTATTATTATATTATTATTTTTTATGATTATTTAATAAATTATAATTTATGATTTTGTGTTTCAAGTTTTATCCTACCCGGGATGTTTACTAGACTCTTGTTCGGACAGATTTCAGTGAGTTATTCCTAAAAATTACAGGCGTACAATAAAAAAAATACATATTTCCATGCAAAAAAATGTACCGCTTTGAGCACAGAAATATGGACATAATCATACCGCTAGGGAGGTTAATATATAAGTGAGACAGTACAATTACAATACATTTCAGTACAGAAGGAATAGGAGGGCCTTGCTCATAGAGCTTACATTCTAAAGGAAGGGGGAGGTGATAGCTGCGGGGGATGATCTGGTGGAGGTGATTCAAGTACAGTTCTTAGGTGGAGGTGGGGTAGGCTTTCCTGAATAAGTGAGTTTTCAAAGAGCGCCTAAAGGCAGACAGGGTGGGGTCTGACCCAACATACTATGGTAGGGAGTTCCAGAGGATGGGAGAGGCTCTGGAGAAGTCCTGGAGGCAAGCTTGGGAGGAGGTGATGAGGGAGCTAGAGGGGAAGATGTCTTGGGAAGAGCGAAGCGGGCGATTTGTACGATATCTGTGGATGAGGTTGGTGATGTAGCTAGGAGCAGTGTTGTGGATGGCTTTGTAAGCTGTGGTTAGTATTTTGAATTGTATACACTGGGTTAGTGGAAGGCAGTGAAGGGATTGGCAGAGAGGGGCAGCAGATGCTGATCAGTTGGTAAGGTGTATGAGTCTAGCAGCAGCATTCATAATAGACTGAAGTGGGGGGGGGCATTTAAAAATCCCTGGTGCTGGCTGAATGGAATTTTTGAAACTTTTTTGCATTGTTACATGTTCCCCAGGACAATGCCTAACCCCATACTATTTTTGACATCATCCATGTCTATTAGCCTAGAAAAAGGGCATTGTTATTTGACAGATTCTGCTCCCATTGATATCAATATGGTTTGAGTTCAGCATCTGAGCTTCTGTGAAGTTTGCTTTGTTTGAACCAATGTCATCTATAGACACTTATTCGGATTATTGATCATTACGAATTAGCAATGCAAAAGAATAGAAATAAGTTGCTTTTTATTTTTCTACAAATTTTAAATAATCTTTACTCCCCAACCCCTCAGGATTTGGTGCCTCTTACTGGCCTTCCCATCTTGAGAGTAACACCATCAACCAGCAAACTGACCAGGCATATTTTACAGACAGTTAAAATAGGAAAAACAATTGAAAAACAAAACCAAAGCACACCAGATTGTGCAGCAGATCATTTAATAATAATGCAGCCCATCCATAATGTACACATAATGCTGGTATGAGGAAACTGTTGTAAGATGTAATCTACCCTCTTTTGTCCAGCCTAATGAGAGAGAGACCATGAAATGAATGGAATAAATGGCAAAAAAAAATGCTGATGGCAATAACCAATAAAAACATTGTCAGCTTACTGTAATCAGTGATTTTGGCTGCTAAAGATTGCTGCATTTTGCATATTATAATTACTTTGTGCTAGTTATTGTTACTCTCTAACTCAGCAATGGGCAAACTACGGCCCGCGGGCCGTATACGGCCCGGCGGACCTTTTAATCCGGCCCGCGGAGCTAGGCTCCCGCAAGGCCAGTGGTCGGCAAGCCGCGGCTCTTTACAAATTTAGATGCGGCTCTCCTGTGTGCCGGGCGCCCGCTCCCCTCCCTCCTCTCCTCCTCTCCTCCTCTCCCCTCCCTCCTCTCCTCCTCTCCCCTCCCTCCTCTCCTCCTCTCCCCTCCTCTCTTCTCGGATGGCCGCCCCCCCTCTCGGATGGCCGCCCCCCTCCCTCCTCTCGGACGTCAGGACTCTGCAGCTGTCAGGATGTAGGCGGGGCAGCCAGGATGTAGGCGGGGCAGCGTGACGAACTCCTCTCACAGTCCTCCCTGAAGACCAGAACGGCGCGGGAATACGAGAGGAACGCGCGGACCAAAGGTAAGTGAATTGACACAGGGGGGGGACTTACTATATGGGGGATGAATTACTATATGGGGGACTTACTATATGGGGGACTTACTATATGGGGAATGAATTACTATATGGAGGACTTACTATATGGGGAATGAATTACTATATGGGGGACTTACTATATGGGGAATTAATTACTATATGGAGGAATTACTATATGGGGAATGAATTACTATATGGAGGACTTACTATATGGGGAATGAATTACTATATGGGGGACTTACTATATGGGGAATGAATTACTATATGGAGGACTTACTATATGGGGAATGAATTACTATATGGGGGACTTACTATATGGGGAATTAATTACTATATGGAGGACTTACTATATGGGGAATGAATTACTATATGGAGGACTTACTATATGGGGAATGAATTACTATATGGGGGACTTACTATATGGGGGATGAATTACTATATGGGGGACTTACTATATGGGGAATGAATTACTATATGGGGGACTTACTATATGGGGGATGAATTACTATATGGGGGATGAATTAATATGGGGGATGAATTAATATGGGGGATGAATTACTATGTGGGGATGAATTACTATGTGGGGGGATGAATTACTATGGGGGATGAATTACTATATGGGGGATGAATTAATATGGGGGATGAATTAATATGGGGATGAATTACTATGTGGGGATGAATTACTATGTGGGGGATGAATTACTATGGGGGATGAATTACTATGGGGGATGAATTACTATATGGGGGATGAATTACTATGGGGGATGAATTACTATGGGGGACGAATTACTATATGGGGGACGAATTACTATATGGGGGACGAATTACTATATGGGGGATGAATTACTATGGGGGATGAATTACTATGGGGGATGAATTACTATATGGGGGATTAATTACTATGGGGGATTAATTACTATGCTTACTATGGGGGAATATTACTATACTTACTATGGATGACACATACACATCATTCATCTACTCTTGGTCCGGCCCCCGGGTCCAATATATGAACCCATTGCGGCCCTCAAGTCAAAAAGTTTGCCCACCCCTGCTCTAACTTCTGTTTAGCTGGAATTGGAAGTCTGGGGAGGTTTGTACTCTTGCAGACCACTCTGAACTTCCCTTTCCTTCTTGGTCAAAAACATACACTTGTTGGTATTATTTTACAGCCACACAAATATACACATGATTGTATCATATGAGTTACTATTTTCTTTTAAAGATACAATCATCATGTTTCACAACTGCATAGCCACAAACAAAAAAAAACTACAGATGTGTAACACTTTGTATCGCTATGGCTAATGTTCTAATATTTTTTCATTTGAATGTGTTTTGTAATGGAGTAAGTAGTTACTGTATGTTGAGCAACACTGCACGCTATCCAGTGCAGCAGAGTGCAAACATTTTCACTGCAGACGTCCGACATTTCTTTCATGTTGAATTACAGCTCTGTCATGTGTTTTTTTTTTTTTTGCTAGAAAATTAATTAGAACCCCAAACATTATATATGTATATAAATATTTTAAGCAGAGGTCCTAGAGCAGGCATGTCCAAAGTCCGGCCCGCGGCCATTTACGGCCCGGGGGTCGGTTTAATACGGCCCTCCAACAGCCCTCCCTGCTCTGTGTAATGTGGCCCTCCCACGGCCCTCCCTTCTATGGCAGACAGTCTTCTGCTTTAGAGCAGAGGGCAGTGCGCATGCCTGACTGCGGCGCGTTCTCCCTGGTCTGTGTAAATGCGGCTGTCGCACGGCCCTCCCTTCTGTGGCAGACAGTCTTCTGCTTGAGAGCAGTGCGCATGCGTGACTGCGCCGCGCTGGGAGCGACAGAGGGCGGTGATGTCAGGGCCGGGCTTCCAGTGTGAAGTGTGTTTCTCTTCCCTCCCGGCTGCCGAGCAGAAACTTCAGCTCCAGCTACCTTTTTCACCCTTCACATTAGTGCAGGTAAGTTTTTTTAAAATTTATTTTCAATACATTGTGAAAACTCAGCTGTCAGTTGATCTTAATGTTAGGAAATGAAAAGTATGTCATTTGCAATTAACTTGGCATAAAATAATTTATTTCCATTTAATTGTAATGGTTCAAAGAATGTTCGGAAAAATGTTCGGCCCTCCACCATGTTCACTTCATCCAATCTGGCCCTCTTTGAAAAAAGTTTGGACACCCCTGTCCTAGAGAGTAAAATAGTGGGTGTTGCATGTCACACAGTATTTGTACAGTGGTTTTTCAAACTTAATTTTTTGGGGAAAAAATACATTTTAATACATTTTAGTGCACACAAACCCAATATACTGTAATATGCATTTTTTTGTGCAGTGGTTTTTTCAAATGCAATTTGTTTGGAAAAAATACATTTTAATTAATTTTAGTGCACACAAACACAATATACTGTAATACACGATTTTTTTTGTAAAATATAAAATGATGTCATGTCGAGTAAATGGATACCAAATATGTCATACTTTAAAATTTTTCATGCCCATGAATGATGACAAACTACGGTACATTAGTACATTACATTATCCATAGGTGACGTTTTAAAAGTCTGTACAGGTTACCCGTTTAGAGTTACACAGGATGTCTAGTGCTAGAATGATTGCTCTTGCTCTGGCGGTCACAGGTACCTTACATGTGTGGTGCAATCACCATTTACATATGGTTGCGGAATCTAAGCGTGCATTGGAGCAATTATTAAATACTACTGGGTCTGTGCCCCAGCCTTGTGAAAGCCCATCACTCCCCCCATTTCTCTGTGGCTGTCCAAAATTAGTGATACCTAAGTTATGGAACATCTTACTGCTTCTCTCCACCAGTCTGAGGTAACATTTTGAGATATGTGATTCCAAGGTTGATTTTTTCCTTCTCTGATACCGACTAGGATTTAATGTGTC